GTGTGGCTATTGGATTCTGGGCGTTTACAATCCCAGAATCATAGCTGTTATAGAAGAAACTAAATGGATCATCAGGTCTATCTCTGGCCTTCAGGCTGGGGGAATATTTTTCCCTTTTGATATATTAGACCATTAAAGCCCAGAGAGGTTAAATGACATGAATGGAAATAGGTACCAAAATGGTTAGACAGAAAAATTGGGGTCATTCTATAGAAAGAAGCCTTTAATGCTAGGTTAAAGAACTTATAGTAAACTCAGTCAATGACGGGGACTATCGAAAGCTTTCACTAAGGTGGTGACATAATTAGAGCTACGTTGAGCAGTGTTTTCACATTGTGGAATATGATCCATTAGTGGGTTACAAAGTCAATTTCATGGTCATGAATAAAAACAATATCAAAGCACAGTATTGCTTTGTGAGTTCTGTATGTATGTACAGGGTTGGGAAGTAAGATTTATTTCTTATTGTGAGTCATTATAGTAAACTCAGTCAATGATGGGGACTATCGAAAGCTTTCACTAAGGTGGTGATATAATTAGAGCTACGTTGGGCAGTGTTTTCACATTGTGGAATATGATCCATTAGTGGGTTACAAAGTCAATTTCATGGTCATGAATAAAAACAATATCAAAGCACATTATTGCTTTGTGAGTTCTGTATGTATGTACAGGGTTGGGAAGTAAGATTTATTTCTCATTGTGAGTCATAGCCAAAAAACTCTGTAAACCCCAGCTTTAGGGAAATTAATCTGGTGGCAAATCATAGGCTAAATTAGAAATGCAGAGGAGGAACTTGGAGGCTGAAATTCTAGGATGCTCTTGACATAGCTCAAGTGGGCAGTAAAGGGTATCTGAATGGGAAGGAGATAGCGTGGGAGGGGAGCGGAGGGGGAGGATCTGAGGGATTCTGTGGGGTAAGAGTCTCAGGATTCGAGGACTCGTTGGATTGTGGGGCCTCAGTGAGAGGGAAGAACCACTCAGGGATGACTAAAAGTCACACTCAGGTGCTTGGGAGAATGCTGGTACCCACAGCCAAGTCGGGAGAAGGGGCTGGTTTGAGGACTAGCACAAAAGACTGATGGAAAGGCACACAACACCATCAGGTACTGGGACAGTCAGGTTCCCAGCAGGAAAAAGAATCTACTGAGACGTTTTCAATGCAGAGACCTGAAGGAAGGAAGGATGTCCAGTGGGCAGGCTTGTGGGGACCAACCAGGAATGAGAGGTGCCCAGAGATGAATCACAGTAGGAAGCTCTCCTTCTCAGATTCTTCTGGGCCCCAAGCCAATAGGGCACCATTCCCCAACCCCCTTCTGCTCCCCCACCCCCACCTCTGAAACAAGTGCATGACCACTGGTTTGTCATTGCTTCTACTGCTACCAGTATTTCTGCCCTCACCATCAACACAGGCAAATGGTTATTGAACCTTTACCCTGTGCCATGGGCTTTTACATCCATGACCTCATTTAATTATAGTTACCCCATGAGTTGGTCCTATTATTATTATAACTTCACAGAGAAAAGAAACAGAAACCGAGGGACATTTAACAAGTTGGCCAAGTCCACACGGTTAGTAAGTGGCGATGTTGGAATATGAAGCCAGGCAGTCTGGCTGACCACCATAACCAATGCTGTTTACTGGTAACTACTGAAAAATAGAAAATAACGAAGTTAGCAAGTTGGGGGGTGGGCAGTTAACCACAGCAAAGCAGAATAAGTCACTGGTGATGTTACACATGGGACCAGGCATCTCGTGGTCCTACTTCCCTAATTCCTTCTTAGGTTTTATCTAGAAAGTCATCCTCCCCCACACCCACAGCCTACAGGGTTGGATGCAACAGTCATGCTCTCCAATTTTAGTGGGTGGGGAGTGGAATTAGGTTGCCCTCTTTGCCTGACTGTGAGCTGTGCAGTCTCTTTCAGAACCTCTTCCTCAGTTTCCATTCTGGTTAGACCCTCGGGGTTGCTTCTTGGCCCTTCTACTCAGCAATTGCTTGAGTCTAGTCCAGGTTGGGAACCCTGTGATTTCTCTCGGAGCCTCAGGCTTCTGCACTGAGTTGCCTATTCTGCTCCCACTCTCCTCTCCCGCTTCCCACCATGGAAGTCCTGCCTGTTTCCATGGTCCAGTTCAGTGTGTGTTGCCCAACCAAGTGTTAGGTTGGTTCTATCCTGAGTCCAGCTTCACACAGTCCAAGCAACTTTCTGAGCCTCCATTTTCCAGCAGCTGAGAGGCCCCAGCCGACATCCCAGGACCCTTCTGCCTTCTACCTGTACCTCCAACAGCCCCTGATGACCACCATCTTGTACATTAATCCACCCCCTCTGGTCCTTGTGTCAGAAGGGCCCGACGTCTAGCTCAACTCACTGAGCTGAGTCCTGTGGGGATTAAGCGAAGTTCCCCAGCTCACCTGCTCATAGCCCTGTGCTCTCTCCAAGCTGCTTTGTGATGAATCACTGCCCTCAGGCCCATGCATTCCTCTTCTTCCCCCCCACCCCCACTTCAAGAAATGACTTTTGAGAATGGTCTCTCTCCTTTTTTTAAAAAAAAGAATACTAAGCCCTGGCTGGTGTGGCTCACTTGGTTGTGTATCATCCTGTTCACTGAAAGTTTGCTGGTTTGATTCCTGGTCAGGACACATGCCCAGATTTCCTGCGGGATCCTGGGTAGAGGGGGTGCAGGAGGCAGTTGATTGATGTCACACACTCATATCTATGTTTCTCTCTTCTCCCTTCCTCTCTCTCTAAATCAATAAACTGTTCTTTAAAAAAATAGTAAAATTCTTTTTAGATACGTGGAACAAGAATGACAATCCCCAATGCTATTAATACACACACACACACACACACACACACCACAATCCAGGCCTACAAGGAAGGTCTCAGGTGGGGCTCTCCTGGTGAAGGTGGCAGAATGGCAACTACTTTGTTTCCATTGTGCCCACAAATAGAGGAAGTGCTTCAAACTGGATAGGAAAAGAACAAGGGCGGTCCAGAAAAATGTAAGTCTGAGGTAAATTGCATGTCAAGAAGAGAAAAATTCATTTACTTGCAGGGCATCAAATTTCTATGCCCAAACAAATTATGTCCTAGGATGTGGGTTGCAAACTTTTTAGTATAACTTTTTCAGACAAATCTTATATCAACCCTAATTTTTAAATATTTTAAAAATAATTTATTTTTATACATTTTAAGTTAAAAATTATTTCGTTTATACTTCTAATGAAATTAATCTATGAGGAAAAATTACTATTTTGATGAATACCAAAATTTGCAATAATTAATACAGGTATAACCATTGCAACTTTATATCAAGCTCAGCATTTAATTTACTTCTATTATTTTAGTTGCAAAGAGTAAGCAAATATTTTTTTAAGCTTGCCTTGTCATTTTTTTATAGGCACACCACATTTTATTGCATTTTTCACAGATGTTTTTTATTTTATGTTTCAATTACAGTTGATATACAATATTAGTTTTAGGTATACAACGTAGTAGTTGAATATTTATATAACAGATTGCTCAGATAAGTTTAGTATCCACCTGACACTAGAACATTTTAAAATTTCCAAATCAAATTATTATTAGGACTATTATTTTTTTTTTACCTAGATACAAAAGTCAGACCTGAAATACACAACACTTTCTATAAGCAGTAGAGCTACATAGCAGCTTCCACATGGGCCTGTGACAGCTCACCAAGGCCTGAGAGGAGCATGGAGAAATGCATGCTTCTGAGCCTTGTGTGGCTGTTGACTGAGCGCTGCATTCTTGGAAGTGCAGACCCACAACCTTCCTAACCAACTAGTTCATTAGAAATTAACTAGTCTCTGGTTCTAGAGTCAGACTAGCGAGGAGGAGGGGTGCTAGTGACTTGAAAGGGCACAAGGGAACTAACTTTTGGGAGTGCTGGACATTGTGGCTGTCTTGACAGAGGTGGTGGTTATGTGGGTGTAGTATACTGCATGTGTGAGTAGTCATGGGCTGTATGCTTAGGAACTGTGCATTTTACCATAGGTACATTTATATGTAAGAGTTCTGTTAGGAGCCCTGGCTTGGTAGTTCAGTTGATTAGAGCATCATCCGATATGGCAAGGTTTTTGAGTTCGATCCCTGGTCAGGGCACCTAAGAAGCAACCAATGAATGCATAAATAAGTGGAACAACAAATCTCTCTCTCTCTCTCTCTCTCTCTCTCTCTCTCTCTCCCCTTTCCTCTCTCTCTCTAAAATCAGTAAAAAAAATTTTTTTAAGTTCTGTTAGGAGAGAGAGAGAGAGAGAGAGAGAGAGAGAGAGAGAGAGAAAGGAGAGCCCAAGAAGCTTTATCTCAAGATTGGCTCAATAATCTGTCAGCACAAGTTTATGTGCCATGGGTTTCCACTGTGTTATAATTTGGTAGCTAACAACTGCATGTTTGTGTTTTTAATTATAATTTAAAAAAAAACAGTTTTAAATATATTTAAAAATGAAATCCAAGCATATTTAAAATATAAAATTCAAAGAAAATATATTTTAAAAAGACAAAGCAAATATATTTAAAATATGAAATTCAAATCAATTTAAAATCTAAATCAAATATGTTTAAAAGATGAAATCCAAATCACTAGTGCCAATCACTCCTGGCACTCTTTGAAAAACCATGGAAATTTAAGAAGTGCTGGAAGACCAGAGGTGGTTATAGCACAGGATGCATGATCCTGTGGAAAGCACATGGACTACTGAATGTACCAACGTGGCTTCAAATCTAACTCACCGGCTCCCTAAGGTCCTCTAGTTCCTACCTTATCAAACACACAGCCCCAGTTTCATCATCTGTGAAATGGGGAGAATGCCACCTGCCTTAGACTTGTTGGGGGATTAAGTGAGAACATAACTAAAGCGCACAGCACACCTATAAATGTTAGTTCTCATCTCTTCTGTATCCCACTCTGCAGTAAAATATACTGGATTTAGAGAGGATCTGACTACCTACAGCAAGCCCTACCTTTTGACTTGTTTTTCCAGAGGCAAAGATGAATTTGCATCTCACCATCCACAACCACACCTAGACCTCCTTGCTGCCAATGACACATTTGCAAGACTGTCCGCAAGCCCTGGATGGAAACATTCAACACAAGTGGAGGTACTGGTCCGCCTTATTTTAGAGAGAAAATGACCAGAATGTGAGTGGGCAGATCAGCCAGAGGAGCACGGCAGAAATTTGTCAAAGGACCAGAGCAGCTTCTCTTGATTTCCTGGGTTTCTCCTTCCCTTTCTTCCTGACTCTCCCCAGCCCAACTCAGAAAGCATCTCCCCGTATTTTCACCAAGAGAGTGAAAACAGCGTCTCAGTTTATTAAAAGCCAAGGTTCGGATGTCCTGTCGGGGAAGTGGTGTCCACACTGTAGACAGGTGTGGCCATCGCACCAGCGTGTTAGTCTCGGCGTTCTTTGCTTCTTGTGGGTTCCCACCATTTGATCTATCAGACGCATTTACTCATAAGGATGAACATTTAGTTTGGGTCTCAGGCCGAGGTGGCCCACTACAGATCATTGCCTGAAAGAAATGGTGCTGAGCTCCGAGGAAAACAAGCCAGGCCTGCCTCTACTAGTCCAGTGAAACTTTAGGTTCCAGCAAACCTGCCTCTCAGATGCTTTTGATCCCTAATAAACTGGGGTGTTGTCTTCCGGTTTCAGAAGTCTGAACCAATTATGCCCTGGAAACAGAGCTCAGTTTCAAAGCACTCCTCTCTGCCTGGGTCCTTGGGCTATGAAGGGCTACATTACATCTTGGTAAATTCTGTCCAGCTAGGAGTTCAAGACCAAGAATAATTACAGCTGGAGACCAGAGGCTGGTAGGAGATTTGCCGAGATGGCCCGGGAGGGGTCATTTCCAATCTGAAGCCTTTTTCATGACTAGGACTTCATGCCCTTCCTCTGCCGAGGCCTTCAGACCCCAGAGAGTATTGCCTTTCAAGAGGTCTCTTCCTTTGCTCTCAGGGGTCAGCCCTGGGCTAACCTGTTGAGCTGGGACTGGCCTGAGTCGGGAGCTGTGGTTCTGCTCACCTTTTATTTCACTCTTGCAGAGCTGTGAGTGCTTTTGTGAACTGGCCTTGAACAAGGATTTTGGTGGATTTAAAAAAAAAACACAAAAAAAAACACACAACCTCTTTATTTCTTCTTGAGACATAAATGTTCAGTTTGGATGATGCAGATGAGCCAAGGACTAATGACAATGGCTAGCTCTTCCATTTGTTCCAATGAATTCCAATGGCGGAAGAGGACATAGTATCTAGACCAGGGGTGGGCAAACTTTTTGACTCGAGGGCCACAATGGGTTCTTAAACTGGACCGGAGGGCCGGAACAAAAGCATGGATGGAGTGTTTGTGTGAACTATATTTCTTCTTGAGACATAAATGTTCAGTTTGGATGATGCAGATGAGCCAAGGACTAACGACAATGGCTAGCTCTTCCATTTGTTCCAATGAATTTCAATGGCGGAAGAGGACATAGTATCTAGACTGTGTTGGTCTATTAATATTCAGCTTATCAAATCTACAGCTCGGTACCTCTTGAGCAGGACTGTCCCAGGAAGGCCGGATATGATAACAGTCAAGGATGGAGAGGGCAGACATGGAGAATTCAACACGTATATGCAGCTTAGCCCCTGTCCCCACAGGCTCTCTAAAATTCCCTATTTGGTCAGAGCTGGCTCATCGTGGCTCCACTGTGCCTCGGATTCTGCGTCACGGCTTCTGAGGGAGAGTAGGTTCAGATCGTCTGGAAGCTGGGGGTCACTCCCTTGGCAGCTTGCTGGGCTAAGCAGTACTTACATCTTTTGGTCTTGGTCCTTCAAAGTTCACCACAGCTACCCTGACAGTGTCAAGCCGGCTTACCATCGCCGCACACCAACACGCGCCCCCACCATGGGACGGGCTCTTCTGGTAACTTCAGTGCATGAGGGGCTACCACAACACCGTGATTTTTTTCTTCAACCTTTTAAATTATATTTTTATTTTTTACTTTATTGTTGTTGTTGCTGTTGACTCTATTACAGATTTTTGAGAAAGGAGCAGGCAACTGTGTCAGGGTTGAGCTCCCATTTGACATTGTTCTTCATCCCCACCTGCAGTGACAGCTTCTCAGAAATTTCACTGTTGCCTCACCTGCCTTGGTCTGGATCTTTTCTCATTTTCCCTCTCGTCTTCGCAGTTTCTCCTCTTCAAACGGCTTCTTGTCCCCAGCGGGTGCATGTACAGCCAGTCTTGGAGGAAGGAGTCATATGGCCCAGATTTCTTCACTGAAACCAGGTCTCCCGGACTCCAAGCTCCTCTACCGACTGCGAGAGGATGGGCTCCAGGGTGTCTTTGGGCCAGTGTTTCATGTCCCCCACCAGCTGGTAGACACAGAGTCGCCAGTGCAGGCTCTGCTTCCGGCCATCCCGGCCGGTGGCACCTTCCCCTTCTCTCCACGATGACCTTGCCCTGGCAGCCGGCCGGAGAGTGAGGGCGAGCCTGACCTTGAAAGAGTTTTATAGAATCTCTCCCTGTTCTCGGTTGTTTGTTATGTTGCAAGAATGTGACTCAACAGCGTCCACACCCCAGTGACTCAGCCCAGCTAATGAGCTGTGTTTTCCAGGCCTTCCTGGGGCAGCGCCTCCTCTAATGTTGTCCAGGCGCTGCCCTGGCCAGGGCACTGCCCTGCTCAAGCCAGGATGAGAGTGAAAAACGCTCCCCACAGGCAGGCTGAGGGAAAGGCAAGGTGAATTCTGGGTTGTACCACTCCGGAACAGTGCAATCTCTTGGCCCTTCCCAGGCCCAGCCTGGGAGGTGAAAGCTAAATGTCAGGAGGAACCTACACAGTGGGATCGATTTGAAGGCATCTGGCAGGGTGATTTCTTCTTTGAGATAAAGATAGTTACTAGGGGTTTCATGGAGAAGTCTGTTTACTTTTTAAAAAAAATTGATTTCAGAGAGGAAGGAAGAAGGAGAGAGAGAGTGATAAAAACACCAATGATGAGAGTGAATCATTGATTGGCTGCCTCCTGCACGCCTCACATTGAGGATCAAACCTGCGACCAGCATCTACCCTGACCAGGAAACGAACCATGATCTCCTGGTTCATTGGTCGATGCTCAACCACTGAGCCACGCCGGCCTGGTGAAACCTGTTTACTTTTAATTAATTGGGTCTTTGATTTGTGGGGCATTCAGCTTGCTGGGGAAAAAACGATCTGGCTATTAAGCTTCTGGGGGCAAGGTGGAGAAAATCATATAATTAGCAATTCAGAGATTTTCAGAATCTCTGGCCACATCAAAAGATGGCACAGGGAAAGAGATCACTGTGCACTACAGCTGTGGCAACGGCCGGGCACTGGATAATGACCACAGAGAGACAGTAGTGGATTATGTTTGCTTGTGAATGTGTGCTTCTCTTTGGGGAGGAATTGCTTAG